TATATCAAGAGAGAGAGGTGTCTCTGGTCTCAGTTGCTGGCACAAAGATCCTAAAATCTTTATAATAAGTATAATGAGTAAGTAATAAGAAAATCTTTAGTTCTAATAAGGGGAGACTGGGTAAGTTTCTGGATGGCTCCAGGATGGAGGCTATTAAACAAAAAGACCAAACCATAATTAGAAACTTGGTATTTTCAACCACACTCCTATTTCTCTAAAAAGGAGAAAATGGACTTAATTATCGATAATGACTAAGTGATGAAGTCTCCCTAATAATCCTAAAGTACAAAGTACTTCCAGATTAGAGAACAGATCCACATTGGGAGGGTGACACACCCATTCCATGGGGACAAAAGCGCCTGTTTGGGACCTCCCATACTTCACCCTACCTATCTCTTCACCTCAGTTGTTTATCTGAATCCTTTACCATATCCTTCAATAAACTGGTAAATGTTAAGTAAATTTCTCTGTGCTGTGTCAGAGCAAATTAATTGAACCTGCCGAAAGAACCTGTGAGCCTTCCAACTTGTAGCCAAGAAGTCGTGGGTAACCTGGGAGACCTGTTCTCCCATCTGAAGTGGATGGGAAAAATCTTATGTGACTGAACCCTTAATCTGTGGACTCTATCTGACACTATCTGTGTAGACAGTATTAGAATTCAATTAAATTGTAGAAAACTCAACTGTTGCCCCAGATAATTGATTGGTGAGGAGAAAAGGCCACACATTTGGTTGCCAGAAGTGGCAAAGTAAAGTGTTCCACGTGAGCAGTAAAAGAGACAGGAGGAAAAGAAATGAGGATGAGGATTTTTCCTACATTATAAAAAGACACAGGGAAAAAGAAACACAAGCAGGAACCTGAGTTTTTTCAATATAAATGGTATTATTAGTTTATGCCTATGGAAAAAGCTTCTTGTTTAACAGAATGAGACAATAACCCTAATTATACCATGAGGATGACACTCAAAAGTATAATAAATAGGACTCATATAGCAAAGTTTGTTGAACCCAACTTCTGAACAGGTTTTCTGAACAAGCAAAGGAAACTGAAATAAAAGCTCAGTTAATCTGGAAGAGATCTGAAAAGAGTTTAACTCTTCATTTTAAAAACAAAATCGCAGCCCAGAGGAATAGCTGCTCCCCCTAAACTAGAAAATGAGGGGCTTGTGCCCTAGTGTGTCCTATGGACATACTATGAATACCTAAAGATTTTCAATAATAACAAACCAAAACTTATAAAATGCCATGAGAGGGGCACATCAATATGCTACTCTAGAAAAACATAATTCATATGAAGTCCTGCCATGGAGTTTTGACAGGGTAAATGCTCACTAATCAAGCTATTACTTCCAGCTGTATGAGCTTTATAATGCAGAGTGCCTGATGTTTACCTTACATAAATTGCTTTAAATTGATACTAGAGTGTCAGAAATTCTAATCTGATTCAACCCTTTTAACTTTCCAATGGAAAAGTGAGGTTTGAAAGGGCTAAATAACTGGGGTAGCCTGCCTCCATGAGTTTGAGGCAGACAAGATCAAACCCAGACTCCAGGTTCCAGTTTCCATTACATGTCACAGATCTGCAGGTTAGCTACAAGATGGTGCTCAAACTTTTATGAGTGTAAGAATTACATGACTTCTGTACCTGACTTTACCAACCCTTTTATTCAAGTCATCGCTGAGCTAAGCACTTGATGTAAGGAAGAATCAACAATGCAGAATGGAGTAGAGAAAGGAAACAGCAGCTTTAGTAATGCAATTCTACCAAAACACCTGATGAATGGAGAAGCTTCCAGAGCAACTATTATGTACATTGAAGTAGTGTTAAAACAAAGGAGAAAATGCACTTAAAAACTGGACAATAGTTGTGGGTCACTAAGATATTAAGACAGACTCTATTGGCATACAACAACAGAATGGCTTTTTTTTTTTTTTTTTTAAGCAAAGACTAACGTAGGGAGTGTAATAAAAGTACTTTCATGAAGTGTGGAAAGATCAACGGTCTTCAACTCCTTTTACTAAGAGTAGGGTGCCTTCCTCCTACTCCCATAGGGGAACACACACACATTTTTGAATAGAAGTGAAAATGGTGCAGGACGCAGAGGGGAATCCAATCTGTGTGGCCAGCGAATACTTCCTCAGACTCTACTAAGAAGAAGACACGGTGAGAGGTGTTTGTTTGCCTTGCCTCAAAAGACCTCATAATTATATGAGAAAAGGGTGAATGGGGTTCACAGAAGTAACTTAAGGACGAAATGCATCGCTCTAAGCAAGGTTCGAGCCAGGGCTTTAGGGTCAAAGGCAAGAGGATTTTAAGATTCATAAAAGGTTTTCATGGAAGAGGTGGCATTCAAGATAATTGCTGAAGAAAAAGCAGAGGTGTGGGATGCAGGATAGGAGGCTATGGTGAACTCCGGGACAACTGGGAGAAGCCAACTCCCGGTTCCCTCACAACCGCAGGTCTCCTCAAGCTCTGGCATGGCGTCCCGCGGACCCTCTTCCTCCGGCCAGGCGCCGTGGTTCCCAGCCTGACATGCCCCGCCAGGTTGCCCCCTGCCCATTCTCACCTCGGAGCCTTCCTCCTCGGCCAGCCCTGAGGACTGAAGACGCCGCATACAGGAGACAATCCTAGGCAGGCGACCGAGAGCCCTGTCAACTCTCGAGCCGAGGTGGCAGCTAGGCCGCATCCCCATAGCAACGCCGCCAAACGCTGGTTCGAACGCCCGCGCTGACGCCCGCGCGCCAGCAGGCCCTCACTACCCACCAATGGGCATCGAGGGATCGTGTGGACGTTTACCGCCTTCTCTACTGGAAGACCAATCAGAGGTTCGAAGAAACGCTCAATTTCCGTCTTTCAACCAATCATGCCACTTGGGTGAAGATCTCGCGACATTCTAAGGAACCTTTGAGGCGGGTCGAGGAGCCCTCTGCGGCATTCAATTGATCGCCCACCGCACGGCTGAGCGCTCCCGATTGGTCAGCGTACTTTCGGTTTCCGTTCAAGACCCGCCTCCTGCCTCACTCTGCTTAGGGTGAGTATTCTTAGAGAGGACCCTCTAGTATTAGTTCTCCGTAGAGCGACTGAGGCTTGGAGGGTTGAGTGCTGCATTTACTGTCCTCTGGCTGCTGCAGCATCAAGGTGGACGCGCCCTCCTCAAAGCTGGCAGCAAGGCTTGGACACGCCGGCCCCAGCCTCGTGCAGGACCTGTTTTCCTGTACGGGAAGAAGGGTGGGTTCAGTGACCCTGGAGCCTTGCTTGCCCCTATGCTAGTGCGGATGGGGTGGTCGTCGTATCTCAGTTCTGGGTTTAGGTTCCAGCGGTCCGAGCACCATGTCTTCCCCTCTTTGCGTCGCATTTATTCTCGTTACCCTTTAAACCCTGTCTACTTTCCAAGAGATCTTCTCTAATTGCTTCATTTATTGAATAAATAATGTGACAGTTACAGAAGTAAACCACAGATTCACCACCTAGAACATAATTTCTTCTTTCTCTGTTCTGGCCTGGTTTGTTGCTCTGGTTTGTTGCTACATCTTTAAAAAAAAAAAAAAGTTAGGTGAATGACAGCTCAAAATAAAGGGAATGCAATCAAATGGCCAAATCCCTAATCCCTAGAGTATAAAGTAAAAACAAAGGTGATGGGAGTCAGACGTGCTTTGAGCGACTACTAGACCCAGTTTCCCCTTTTCCTGGGGACTGCTATAATCTCTGAGCCATGGTTTCCTTTTTCCTCTTCTGAAAAATGGTAGTTTGACCCTTAAACAAGCCAGGGGTAATGGGATTCCTACATCGCACCCCTTCCACCCCATTAATTCTAAAACCCGCGTATACTTTATAATTGGGGCGGAGAGGGCCAGCAGCACGGGAACTCAACCTGATAGAAAAATATACTGCCCTAAGTGAACCCTGACAGATCAAGCCTATGTTGTTCAAGAGTTGAGTCTGCTAGCCAGTGGAGTTCAGGCCACATTTAAGAGTCAAGTATATTACTCAGTGGGGCCAGTAGTTTTAACTACTTGAGTACCCAATTTAGCTAAAAAATTGTCAGTTAAAAAAAAAAACTAATAAGGAAATAAATCTGTTCTTCAAAAGAGATGTTTTTTTCCTACTAGCTATATTAAAAGGAATTTAGCTGTGGACCTTATACATAATGCATATACATGGTGTAATGAACAATGTGTGTTCACTAGCAGTTTTGTGGGAAATATGAAAAGTACTTTCTTTATTAAACCCCAGTAATAATCAAAAGTCACTAAGAGCCCATTAAAACATAAGTTTTTGATGACCTTTTATAATCCAGGAATACGAGTGACTTCTATATTCTATACTTCTTATATGCAGACCTTATGAATACTTTTTTCTTAAACTACAACCACCCTAAAAAGTAGGTAGTTTAGAAGAAAGAAATATTTTGCTCAACAGTAACACAGTTGTTGAATTAGGAAGATAGTTCTTATTCACTGCAAAGCCAGCTGTGCTTTTCAGTATTTGTTCCATGCTATTTCTGACTGAAAGAGGATGAAAATACTAGTTGCATAGGCAGCAGACAGAGGGAGGTGAGCTGAGGTACCTGTGATGAAAACAAAGTCACTAATAGTTAGAAAATTCCACCTTAGGAAATGAAGAGATGAAATGAACTCATTCACTGAATTGTGAATTCATCTGTCCACTTGTGAGTTTTCCATAGCATTTCAAATCAACTTGTCCAAAACAAATAACGAGCTTACATTGCCCTCTCTTCAACACCTACTTCTCTTTCATCTGGTTACTCAAACCAGACATGTCTCTCCCTTGGACAATGAACCATCAGAGTATTGATTTCATCTTTGAGATGGCTTTTAAATTCATCCCTCCTTTTTCACTTCCACTGCCTTCATTTAATTCCCTATGGTTGGTCATCTGGACTGTTGGCAATAGGCTTAAAACTTGTAGTTTTCAGTCTTCTAGTTTTCTCTCTACCTGCCTTGCTGCCAAAGAGTATAATGTCAACCTGACCATATTACAGCACTGCCTAACACCAGCCAGTGCCTTCAGAATAGAAACTAAGCTGCTAATCAATGGAATGTCATCTTGTGCTAGAGGGTCATTGCCTACCCTTCCTGCTGTGCCTGAAGTATCCCTTACCTCCATCTTTATTCTGCTTGCTAAACTAGTCAGCCTTCAAAATCTTAATGGGATAATCGTTCCTTTCCACTTTTTCATCTTACACATAATTTATCTGTTTGAATATCTTCCACTTCACAAGGGGGTGAACTCCCAGAATGCACACTTTGTAGTCAGGATCATATCTACCCTTCAGTTCCATAATACTTCTGGGCCGTGGGACACACTCCACAGACATTAGGACATTAGAGGAGTAAATGAATCCCTTCAGGCTCTAATTTTAAAATTCTGTTTGCTTTCCAGAATTGTACAGCAGATGGCACTAATAGGCCACTTAACAGATCACCTTCACTAGCAATGACTTTTGTCCCAACCTTGTCTGACTTTGTCCTCATCCTCGACACTGATACTGTTGTCATTACAGGTAAAATCTCCTGTTTCCTCCCTTAGCCAAATAGCACAGGAAGTAAGATGACTCAGCAGCTTAGTCTCTGAGAAAAGAGAGTGGCAGACATCCAGGAAGGGGTGCATTTAAGGGGATATAATGTTTCAATTTATTCATGGTGGTTAGGGACTTTTTTCTTTCCCTTTTCTCTTTACTGTTGTTACAAGAAAGCTTTATTCATGTCTACCCCTCTGAAAGGGGGTTAGGGGATCTGTGAAAAGCCGTGGTATGGGTGTGAGTAAAAGCTGAAAGTCAGGATTCCCTGTGGGCTAGCAGAGTTACCCTCCCCATGGCAGGTGGCCTGCGCATATTTCCTGGATACCAAGCACCCTGTGTTTGGTGCTCCTTTGCTTCACCAAGGCTAACATCAGGGGTGTTCCCCAGGCTCCCTGGTTTGGCCTTGAACATGTGGTTTTAGGTTCTCACATCCCAGAAAATAGCAGAGGAGACTCAGAAACCCCTTTCGATAAGCAAAGAGTAGGAGCTTCATACTATACCTTACCCCTTCAGAGTCATCTGTGAGTACCAGTGTCTTCATACCCCACTCTGAACTCTTCTGTTGAAAATATTCTGCTCAGACATCTTAAAAATCCACCATGTACATATAGATCAAAGACTAGGGATTTCGAAACTGGAAATAATTTTGTAAATCATTTGCATGTCCTTTCTCATAGCCAATTTGTACCCTAGTAAGCTCTGTAGTTTTCACCATAGGCATAGCTGTGCAAGTAATGGAGTTGTCATTACTTGGATTCAGATGTCCCCATTCACAGATCAGTTGTGTCTTTAAGCAAGTATTTTAACCTTTTTGAATCTGTTTCCGCCTGTAAACTGCAGATGATAATGTTTATTGTAAAGGGTTATCCTGAGCATTAAGAGAGATAAACCTTGACCCTCCCTAGTAGCACAGTAGGTTGGAGCACTGCACAAGCTAACTTCAGTGTGAGTTCTATCTCCACCCTGGAGGTGATCCACATGGCGCAGCAGACCTTTCCTCTCTCACCCATTGCTTCCCTCAGCAGTGTACTTTGTCATCTGCCTGTTCTACTCCCCACTCTGTTTCTGGTGAATCCTCTCTCCACCCCTGCACCTCTTCCCTGTACTCCAGTTCTATATGCATAAATAAATAAAATCTTTTTTTAAAAATTAAAAAAAAGGCCCTCCCTGGTGGTGCAGCAGGTTAAAGCACAACACCAAGAAGCTAAAGCCACTTCCACATGAGTTTGATTCCCGCCTGCCCCGGAGGTGACCACATGGGCAGCAGACCTCTCCTGACCTGCCCGCTGCTCCCCTCAACAGTGTACTTCGTTGATCTGCCTGTTCTGCTCCCCACTCTGTCTCTGGTGAAGCCTCTCGCCGCCCCTGAGCCTCTGGCCTGTACCCTAGTTCTGTATGCACAAATAAATAAATCTAAAAAAAAAAATTAAAAAAAAAAGTTAAAGCTTGCACAGAGTGGCTGGCACAGATGCTTGATGGTGTGGTGGCACCAAATGCTGTTTCTGTTAAAGGGATTTCAGGTTATGAGGAACAAGTTGGTGAGAGGATTTGGGGAGCTCTTTTATGTATTTGCAAGTATATTCTTGTAGGCTTTGGGGCTTGAGCTGTGCTTGTAATAGCACTGATTCATTTGATGAAACACTGGAAATCAACAAACCAGTAGAGCCATTTATCTGTGAATTCTTTTTTTGGCACCTAGGTTCTGAATCTCCTCAGTTGTGAGGGAGCTATATATATGAGAAAGCCAAGAGTGCTTTTCCTTAGCTTCTGGAACCTTCTGGTGACATTGAAGTTTTTTTTGTTGCTGTTGTTCAGATTTTTTGTAACCACCTAAGGCACTTTGTCACTTTTCTGAAGTGTGAATTGCCTGCTGTCAGCCTGGAGTTCTCACCTCTGCAATCCTGGCTGCAGGCTTATTTGCATATTGGATGTTGTGTTCTTTAACCCCCTGAGGTTGGAATCTACTTGGAGTCTGTGTGTGCATGCCTTGCCTATAAGTGTATGTATGTAGTGAGAGAGAGCAGCATAGACAGACAGACAAGGAGGAAAGAAAGCTAGCTACTTTCAAACCCCAGGACAGTTTCAGCTCCCTGGTCTCCAGAAAAGCAGAAAACCTCCCACAATAGCTCCATTGACTTTTATGTAAATGGCACTCTTCAGGAAAACACTGGGCTGTTTCCCAAGCCCCAGAACATACCCTGAGCATTTGTTTGAGTGGGAGGTGGGGAGACAGTTCTGTTGAGTCAATGAACATATGTTGAGGGCTGCTGTGCTAGGTGCCAAGGAGCTAGCTCAGCGTCTGGCTCTTCCCTGCCAAAGGCCCACACAGATCTACCATACACGTGTGCTTGTGGTGCCTTTGCTCAGTGTCCACTTAGCTAGGCTGGAACTGAGTTTCCCAGGGCTGCCTTCCTGTGTGGTTCTCAATTAGGGTTGACCTCCAGAAACTCTGTGTGAGATTTGGAAGCTGAAGTGAAGTAGTAGCAGGTACACCCTCAGGAGCTGCTGCTTGGCGTGGAAGCGGTGCGTATGCTTTTTGACACAGACCTGTTGGCTTATTATGTTGGTGACAGCACCCAGCCTGCAGGCCCCCAACCCCTGCTAAATCCCCTTCAGCTTCTGAGTCCTGGACCAAGTATCCATTCAGCTCTGGAGCCAAGAGTTCCAGCTTCTCTTGTAGGTCACCCACGTCAGTGAAATTGGACACAGTGGAGGAAAGTTTCAGTTTGCCTTCAGGAGTTCAGTGTCCTTGCTGGGCCTGTTTTGCTCTCAAAGGTTCTAATTTACCCTTGCTTTCCTCTACTTGGTTTCCAGCTCTCCTCAACTGCTGGCCTCCCTGGCCTTTGGAGAATTCAAGCCTAACAGCAATACAGAGGCGGTAGAGTTGCATGGGTTTCTCTGTCAGCTTCTATAATTGTGCAAGCTCTACTCCCCACATTAAATCCTTAATATTTTGTTGCTCATTCTCTTGCTAATCCAACATTAGAGGTTTATGCAAGTCATGTTAGGAACCCAGAAAATGGAGTGATTAGGAGCCAGGAGGTTTCAAAACAGAGGTGGCATCTAAATTGCTTCTGCAGTATGAATAGGAGTTTACATGTGAGAGAGAGGGGAAAATTCTAGAGAATAGCTGCTTCAAGGCAGGCAGTTGAAAGGACACATAGACAGTTCTAGCTGTCTTCTCTTCGTTCGAGAACATTGGTGTAAAGTGAGCATCGTTGAACCTTGCTTTTGATCCAGCCTCTTCTGGTCCTGTTAAGATGAACCATTGTTTGTCTGGTTATTAGGTGTGATTATATGGTGATGATGCCCATTCCCATTGGTAGCTACTCAGATACATTTTTACTAGGGTTCATCTTTGTCACTACCCTAAACTTCCTACCCATGGTTTCTCATGGTCTCACAGTGAGGGCTGTCTTTTTTAGCCCCAATCATTGTTCCTCCTGCAATTTTAGGGTGGCAGTGCTATTCAAGCACTTTTTACCCTATACAGGGCTCTGTGCCCTCTAGTCTTGGACTCCTAAGCTTATCTGTGGTTCCAGTGTTCATTTCTTGGGCTGTCACTTGAGACAGGGGCAAGGTGCCCCATACCTAAAACTTGCTAAGACACTGAACACTTGATAAGGTTTAGGGGGCATAAGATCAGGTACCTATTTCTACCTGAACCAGGAGCCACTAATTTGAAATATTTGTTCACTAAAGCTGTGGAGACAGAGTGCTTCCTTCTGACTTCCAGAAAGGGTATAGTTCTTGGCATAAATAGGAAGACAGGGGCTTAGAACACATTGTTTAATAAAAGTCTGCTACCACTTTACATATGAATTTTTAAACTCAAACAGGTTTATAATATAAATATTATACTTTTTTCATTTAGCATATCTGAAAGTTTTTATAAGCAGCACATTTGGCTCTGACTCATTTTTAATGGCTTCATAATATTCTACCATAGAGATATACTGCATATGATTTCATCATTCCTCATTGATGAAAATTTGTTTCTGCCACTTTTTTTTTGTAGCTCAGACAAGTTTGTGATGAGAAATATTGCATGTACATTATAAATATAAATTTCTGCACCTCAGACTGCCTAGAAATGGAATCAAAGGGAGTGTGCATTTAATGTTTTGATAATTCTCACCAAATTGTCCTCTTAAGAGGGTATGCTAATTTGCTCTCTTGCCACCAGTGTATGAAAGATAGACCTTTTCAAAAACTTCCTTTGAGCTTTTTCCCAACCCTTAAAAATTTTCATTACCGGCTTCCAAAGGTCACAGTGTTGTGTGTGTGCCTGATCTTTTGTGGAGGAAGAACTATTCCCTAGAGTAATGTTACCCCCTATTGGCAGTTATCAGAATTGCCCCAGGACAGATTGCAGTTTGAGTTTGTTTTTTATGCTCCTGACAGACCAAGCTTATCTTGACTGAACTCCAGCCAGGGGGCTCTGGAGTCCACTTGAGGGCTCTCGTGGAGTGGTGCTAGCCCCAAGCCCCAGCTCCATCTTTGGCCTTGGAATCTTACAAATGAGACACTGCTGCTATGGGCCTCTTCCTGCCTGGGCCATTCGCCCACGCCTTCACTGCATCTGTGACACCTGGCTGTCCCGCTCTGCCATCCCACCTCAGGACCTTTGTCCGTGCTGCTGCCTCACCTGGAGCGTACTTACATTCCTGCTCTTTTCCACTGTGCCTTTTACTCGTCCTTTGCTTCTCTGCTCAAGCAGCCCTTCTACCAGGAAGTTAGCTGCCTTTGACCCCTCAGATGAAGTAGGTTTCCCATCACACATTTTTCCTTTCCAGCACACACCTTACTGGCAATTATTTTTTATTTTGCTTAATTGTCTAAGTCTTCCTCTCCCAGTAACTATAAGCTGCATAAAGGCAAAGTTCCAGCACAGTGCTTATTAGTTCATATGGAATGAACACGAGACAAATTTTTTAGCAAGCTCTTACACAAAATATCCTCCATATTTTTGTTACCTTGAGTCTATGTTCCCTTTCAGATGAATTTTTTTCACTTTGATAGCTATTTCTACTTTCTTTTGTAATTGTTGACATTTTTTTCTGGACATTCTTTCTGAAAAAAGACTAGATGAAATGGAAAAACTAAAAATATGCATTCTTTATTGTATCACTGATTATAAAATTATTGTTTTCTGTAAATTTCCAAATAGTGCAGGAATATATGGAATAGAAAATAAAAGTTTCTTCATAAGCCCATCCTCCAGAAACACTAGTAATAATGTGTATCTTTTCATATTTTTTCTATGCATATTAAAATCGATCAAAGGCTTATTATGTACTAAGAACTATCCTAAAACACTTTACAAAAGTTAGGTCATGTAATCCTCACAGCAGTCCTTTGAGATAGAATCTATTATGTCACAGATGAGGACAGTGTGGTACTGCATCTCCCATTCCTCACATCTCTCTGGTTTTGGTGTGTAAGGTTCTGAGGCTCTCCGTTCTCTTAACATACCAGTCCTGTGTTCCCTGTGTTTTAGCAGGAGACCTGGAGGTAGATGCTGCTTCCTGGCCCACCCTCCCCCACCTGTCCTTGGTATGCTGCCTTTTTCTGTAGGTAATGAGGTTACGTAGTCTGTGTTGCTCTCCAACACCAGCATACAGTGTGTAATCTTCCTGTTGTGTAAAGTATCCTGCATCTTCTTTAAGTCCTCAGCTAGACCATGGCCCTGAGAGCATGTGGCTTGATCATCTTCCGAAGACGCCTCATCCCCAAGAAGGACAACAGTGCAATTGAATTTCTACTGCTACAGGCATCAGATGGCATTCATCACTGGACTCCTCCCAAAGGTGCGGGGCCAGCAGGGCCAGCGGGGCTGGCACTTGGGGAAATGCCAGGCATTGTTTTGAAATCCACTCTGCCAGGCCCCTGCAAGGCTTGCTTCTCCTGACTGCAGCAGAAAGGGGGTGGTGGGCAGGAGCCTTGATCCTTCCAAGGTCTACGGGCCAGACCAAATCATAGCTGGAAATAGAATTCTGTGATTGAATCCCAGAACAGAAGCTGTACCTGTTTTGTTGTTGTTGTTATTTTAGCCCCCAGCCTCTGGGTGAGTGGCTGGGTAGGAGAAAGGAACTGGGAATGCCGACCTTAGCCTTCAGTCATTACTGGGCTACAGGTCAGAAGCCCGGAGTGAATCGTCCCAGAGAGAGGAGCGGGGACTTTAAAAGAGAGTAGGATGGGAGAAAGGTGAACAAGGATCCAGGGTTAAAGGAAAACAGAAATGGGAACAGGAAATTCATTTTGCACATTTGAGTTTCACTAGGGAGAAACAGGTGAAAAAAGGGACAGAAGTGTCATAAATACTATGAATAGGAATATTCACACTTGTCTCTTTTCTTTTTTTTTTTTGAGATTTATTTATTTATGCATACAGAACTGGGGTACAGGCCAGAGGTGCAAGAGCAGTGGGAGGACTCACCAGAGCAGAGCGGGGAGGCAGATGGACAAAGTACACTGCTGAGGGGAACAGCAGGCGGGTCAGGAGAGGTCTGCCGCGCCATGTGATCACCTCTGGGGCTGAGGATTGAACTCACACTGAAGTGGCTGCACCAAGCTTGACAGTGTTGTGCCTTAACCCACTGCGCCACCAGAGAGGGCCCTCTCACAGTAAGATTTCAAAGGACCTCTCTTGATTGTTTTCCTGCTTGAGCCTGGTGTAGACATTATCAGGCTAACATCAGTGGGTAGAATACTGAATAGATGCTGTTAGGAAGGATGTGCTCAGAGACTCCTGAGGGAAGTTAGGACTCCCGGGTTAGTGTCCACTCTATCACCACCTGCATCCTTCTGACCTTCCTCCCCCAAGCATCACCTGCCTTTGTCCATGGCTGTGTGAGTTGCTACTCAGAGAATATTGCCCAGAAGCCATGAGCTGGACTGGGTTTTTAAGTGCTAAACGCCTGGTGGTTTTCTGTGGAAGCTGTGCTACAGCAGCTGACTTCGGGCACTACTATGAGGAATCTGGGAAGGCGGAGGGCTAGGGTAGCCTTGTCCAAACCGAGGAGGGAACAGCTAAGAGTTGCTGCTCCCCATGAGCTCCTGAACCAGGAGGCCCCCAGCAACTTGCTGGAGCCATGTGTTGACAGAGGTTGCCAGACCCCTCCCAGTCCTTTTTGGTCCCTCTGGGCAAGCTGAGAATTTGCAGGGAGGGCCTAAGGCAAAGCCGAGGACTGCTCCCAGTCTGCAGAGCTTCAGGTTCTCCTGAAACAGTTTCTTGGCACTGTCTGCTTAGGCTTGGGTCTTGCCAACAAATTTTCTTAGAACTCAGCTTGTCCTTAGTCTAAGTTCCCATCAGGCCTTTCCCTATGAAAGTGGAATCTGGCCTTGCTCAGTTAGAAAGATGAAAACAATTTAGAAAAGCCTTGATAGCTACTTGGAAACAGCTGCTGGTGCCGAAGTACAGGGTTTTGAGCCTGTCTGTTGGCCCCGGGGCTTCGGGACCAAATGCAGACAGTGTTAAGTCCTTACTGTGGATTGTAGCTGAAGTGCTGCCTCCTCAGTGATCTCCCACCTGCTAAGAGGGACCGTCTCCTTTGAGAAAATCACTTTAAGGTCTCCAAGGGAAGTGTGGTCCTTGAGAACATGTGTAGGGCCGCAGCTACAAGCTTGTCTTTTTCCGGATGGCAGCAGACAAGAAAGCAGGTCATGAAGGCCATATGTGGGGTCAGGAACAAACAGCAACAGGTACACAGGTAGCAACAGTGGCAGTGTCTAGCTGCAGCACGGACCCCACCCTGTGAGTGCCTCCCCCCAGCCCTGTTAGCTTTTATATAATTTATAGACAAAACTGGCACAGGGCCAGTTTTAAGCCTAGTTTACAGAAATAGTGTTTGCACATGCTAACTAAATACATATTATTTACTGCTTTCCACACTGCAGACTACATCTCAAGGCTACATGTTATCTAGTAGGTCACCTGTGCTGGAAGATCATGCTGAGAAACTCAGAAACCCTGAGAAAACCCCGTTTTTCCCCACAGGTCCTCCACATGGGATGAGAAACTCCAAAGAACAAGTAAATAGAGGTCTGAGGGAGGCCATCTCTCTCACCATAGAAGAGCAGAGTATTCTAGGCCAGTTTTGCCAAACATATGGTCTGTTTCACTTTGCAGAGATGGAGTGAGGAGAGATAGCCCAGACACCCAGAGCCAGAGATTGCCAGTCCTTAGGCTTCATTTAGTCTAACAACACCTCGAAAGGTCACCTTTAGGTCATCTTTAGGTCATCTCTCGGAAAATCAGCTTGTTAAAATTTTCTCTTCCTCTTTTCTCCTTACCAGGCCATGTGGACCCAGGGGAAAATGACTTGGAAACAGCTTTGCGGGAGACAAAGGAAGAAGCAGGCTTAGAACCAGACCAGCTGACCATCATTGAGGGGTTCCGACGGGAGCTCAATTATGTGGCCAGGGAGAAGCCTAAGACAGTTGTCTACTGGCTGGCGGAGGTGAAAGACTGGGACGTGGAGATCCGCCTCTCCCATGAGCACCAAGCCTACCGCTGGCTGGGGCTGGATGAGGCCTGCCAATTGGCTCAGTTCAAGGAGATGAAGGCAGCACTCCAAGAAGGACACCAGTTTCTCTGCTCCAAGGCGGCCTGAACTGATGAGAACAGAGTCATTTACCTCAGTAGGGTCCTTGGGGAACCCATTGATAGCTCTAGGGAAGGTTTAGTCTTTCGCTCATCACAGAAAAGAGCAGATTGGTTACTGCAATCAGCTGAGCACTCTCAGATGCGAGCAAACAAAAATCTCAGCTGGTTAGAAAGGTGAAGGGAAAATAAAAATAAATAAATAAAAGACCAGGCTCAGTTAAATGCATCCTTGTATTTTTTTTAAAAGATTTATTTATGCATACAAGAACTTGGGTATAGGCCGCAAGCGTGGGGGTGGTGAGAGGCTTCACCAGAGACAGAGTGGGGAGCAGAACAGGCAGATCAACAAACTACACAGCTGAGGGGAGCAGTGAGCGAGACAGGAGAGGTCTGCTGTGCCAGGTGGGTCACCTCCCTGGTAGGGGATCTCACTCGTGCTACAGTGGTGGCAGATAGCTTCAGAGTGCTGTGCTTTAACACCTTGTGCCATCCTTGTACTTTATAAGTACACATCAAGCAGCTCTTCTGGACTTCTAACCTGTTGTATTTATTTCTTGGACTTTTGCTCATGGTGGGGAGGAGAAAGCTAAAATGCATTGGAGCTCTGCTCTCAGCCAGGGTGCGATTGCCAGTCCTTAGGCTTCCTTTAGCCTAACAAAACCTCAAAAAGTCACCTGAAAGCTACCACCTTTAGGTCATCTCCCTTGGGAAATCAGCTTTGTTAAAATTTTCTCCTCTTCCTCTTCCATCTCCGTGGCCAATCCCCCAGAGAAGTCAGGGAGTCAGAATAGGGAGACGCAACACAGCCTACTTCTGAAATTCTCAGCCCTCTTACATTATCCCTACCAGTGTCCCCAAAACTTTGTGACCTGTACTCAAACAGGATAGTGAGTGGGGCTGGAACACAGGAATTGGATCTCTTACATATCTCTTCCAGGACCAGGCACACAGGTTTTAGGTGCTCAATAAATATTGCCAAGATGATTGGGAACCCAAGAACTTTGGGCCATATCCCAAGTCATAACAGAGAGAGGAAGGACAAGCAGCTCTCAACGACCGAGCCACTACATGCATGCTAAATTCAGCCCCATCCTGTCTCCCAAAGTCAATAATGGGCTTTGTGGCATGACTGAGGTCACTGGCAAGAGGCAGGCCCCTGCCCGGGGGCACTTTGCTGGACTACTCCACAGCCCCATCACTACACATCACTGTAGCTAAGGTAGAGAAGACAGCTGTTGCCTTCCTCACCTTAGCAATTGGCGTTTCTCTCACCCCACCTAACTCCCTTTCTACACAATTCAACTGTGAGACCCAGAGGTGTGAGAGTTGGGTCTCAGCCCTCTTTTCCCTTGCTACTAGGCCTCAAGGAATGCAGGGCAGGTGTTAGAACCTCCAGCCCTTCAGGCACTGTTCTCTGCTAGATTCATGTGGCTCTTGTTAGAGTTGTTGCCCAATGAAGTGCTGATGATTAGATGAGAAGGGACATTGGCAGAGGTCATTCTGGATTACCAAGGTTAAGAACAGCCACCCCAGTGAAAAAAGAAGTCACCCATGTCTTAAGCAGACTTCCAGATGTTTTCAGTCACTGCTGCTCCGTGCAGACAGGGCAAAAGTACTATGAACAGGATCTTGGATCTCTGCCAGGGACCTGAATGGTTTTGCGCCTCGCCCCTCTGTACAGCACTCTCTGAAAGAGGCCTGCTGCAGGAAGTTTTTGGAGCTTAATGTTCTCTTTCCAAGCCAGCAGGGACCACATCCCACTGATTTAATAAATGCCTGCTGGGCAGTGGTGCCAAACCACAGACTAGCTGCCTCCTAACAAGGGCTGGCTGGCCCTGTGCTCTCAGCATGGGCGGCTGTGGAGCTTCAAAATGCTAAAAACTCCTATGTAAGCATTTGAGGAGACCTGGAAAGTGACCTGATTTTGCTGCTCATTTTTATAGCTAGGGAAATTGAGGCTAAAAAGGCCTTGGCAGTTGCCTACCTGTGGGGTGCTTTAGGGATAAGGTGCCAGAGGAAAGTCTGCTTCAGAATATCTTGGATAGCTTCGTAGTCTTTTCACTGGGTCTTACAGATTTTTTCATTAAAACTGTTTCTGGTGGACTTTTGTGGGGGTGGAGTGGGGAATGGGATAAAAAATGGGGTGGGGTGGGGAGGGAAGTGCATGGGATGATGGTGATGGCACACGGGTGACTTGGTGACGGGAAACCCACGGGGATTACAATTGAGATGGAAAAAAAAATGTACAAAATGATGTAAAAATAAACTTATAAAAAATAATAATAATAGTAAACACTTAAAAAAAAAGACATGGCTTCCATAGAGGTAAAAAAAAAAGTAAATTTTTGTATGAGCTAAATAATATGTAATTAATAATAAATGAATAATAATAGCATTACTTAAAGATGTTTTTAATAATTTGATTACCTTTTTTCTGATTAATAAAAAATTAATATGAAAAAAAAAAACTGGTGAATCCTCTCACCCCACGTACCTCTGTCCTGTACCCTAGTTCTTGTATGCATAAATAAATAAATCTTTTTTTAAAACCCATACAGTATAGACGGGTTGGGGTGCATAAATTGTATGCTCACTTTGCAGGAAGATCTTGGTAGCAGGCTGGGACCTGGGCAAATATGGGAGGTGGATGAGGGTGAGAGAGTGGAACTGAGATTTTGGATGTGTTAGGTGAGGAGGATTTGCCTTCACCATTTCGATTCTGCCAGCTGTATTTACTCAATGGGAACTCAGAGGCCCCAGATCATTACAAAGTCCACTCCCTCACCTGCACTACCCCCTCCCAGCTGGCAGAGAAGTGCTCTGCTGATGCTGCATTTTGGGCTGGGCCAGGGCTCAGAGGCCTCAGCAGCATTATATTTGCTGGAAGATTTTCTTTCAGAGGATGGGGAGGCTTAAAACAGCTCTGAAGTGGGAATTCCCTACCCCCAGCCCCTCAGGGAGCTCACTTGGGATCTTAGCCTGCCTGCCTCTTGGCTCTCAGAGTCCCTAAATTCTAGAGTGCAGTCCTTCCCAGTATATAGAGTTTCAGTGGGTCCTGTGTCCTGGACAAGGACAGAGATGACTGAGAGGGATGTCCTTTCACTTCACAGTGATGGCCCCAAGAATCCAGCCTAGGGAATGAGGAGGTGGAGGAGACGCTGCTCTGTCCTGGGGCAGAGAGGTGCTTCTCTCTTATTTCTACAGGGATCGGAAGGAAGAGGACAGGCCCCTCCTTTGGTCTCAGTAGAGGCTGGCCTGGAGAAGGTGCCTAAAATCTGTTTGACAAGGTGCAGCCTCTTGCCTGAAATTGCTTCATAGAAAAATTTCTCTCAGCATGTCTATGGCTCCTTCCTTCCTGTCCTCAAAAAATCTTTCCCAGAGGGCTTTCCTGGTGGCACAAGGGCTTAAGTCTCAGCACTATGAAGCTATGGGCAGCCACTGCAGCACGAGTTCCATCCCAGCCAGGCTGACGCACAGGGGCCAGTAGACCTCTCCTGCCTCGCCCGCTGCTCCCCTCAGCAGTGTATTTCAGTCAGTCTGCCAGTTCTGCCTCCTACTCCGTCTCTGGTGAATCCTCTCACCCCTACACCTCTGGTCTGTACCCCAGCTCTTATATGTGTAAATAAATAAAATAAATATATACATTTTAAAGATTTATTTATTTGTACATACAGAACTGGGGTACAGGCCAGACACTCAGGGGCAGTGAGAGACTTCACCAGAGATAGAGCGGGGAGCAGAGCAGGGCAGATCGAGGAAGTACACTGCTGAGGGGAGCAGCGGGCGGGCCAGGAGAGGTCTGCCACGCCATGTGGTCACCTCCAGCGCAGGCGGGGATCGAACTCATGTGGAAGTGGCTTTAGCTTCTCAGTGCAGTGCTTTAACCCGCTGCGCCACCAGGGAGGGCCCTAAAATAAATATTTTTAAAAACTTTCTCAGATCACGCAGATGAGAATTTCTGATGGCTACTTCTTTGACTTTAAAATTCAGGCACCTTGGAAAATAATAATAATGAACAACTATATACCGGAGACATTCCCCACGGGAGTGGGGAATGGGATCAAAAATGGTGGTGGGGAGGGGAGTGCACAGGACTATGGTGATGGCACACAGGTGATTTGGTGATGGGCAACCCACGGGATTACAACTGAAATGGAAAAAGGCACAAGATGATGTAAAAATAATTATATTATTTAAAAAAAAATACAGGCACCTTGGGAATTGCTTTACAGCTTTCTTATCTACACGCTGTATTGCTGTTTCTCTTTTAGTTCTGAGGCCCCTCTCAAGATGACCCATGGATTGGCCCTCCAGCCCCAGACCTCCCCCTCCCCCTCTCCTCCCCACGTGCACTTTGTCCCAGACTCACCATCAAAGACCACATACTCAGATTATCAGAGCTGAGGCACGGGCACAGGCAGGGTGGAGGGAAGCTGGTGGTGCGGTGGTCTGACCTGCGTTTGTCACAGCCTCGATACGTGGTCTTGGGCTGACCAACTGCTTTGGGTCTGCTTCCTTATTAAAACAAGGGAGTTGGACCAGATGACCTCTGTGGGTCCCTTCAGATTGGATAGTCTTTAGGATTGACTTGAACTACTTAACTTACTGTGCAAAGATCAAAGTTCTGACAGATTCTGCCTCTGTTCAGTTATTCCATGTCTAAGGTTTTCTAGTTTTCTGATTCCAAGTTTAAAATGCTAAGTGTAAATAAAATAACACGATTAGGGTCTCCCTGGTGACAAAGGGGTTAAGGTGCAGCACTATGAAGCAATCTGTAGCCACTGCAGCAGGAGTATGATCCCTGGTCAGGGAGGTGACCCTCATGGCACAGCAGACCTCTCCTGTCTCACCTGCTGCTCCCCTCAACAGT